GGGAGGGGCAAATGGCAAACAGCCCAACTCCGTCCTTCTGAGATGCCTCTTAGGGCTGGGAGGTGGGATGAAGGAGTCTTCCGTTGAACAAAACATTGAGTGCCAGAGGCATAAAGAAGAGACGCTCCCACGAATACCCCCATCCTCTACCCCTGCCCCCAAGCGCACTGCTCCTCCTCAAAGCTTCAGCCCAAGTTTGGCCACCAGATCCTGCCTAGAGCACCGTGGGCCTCTCACATGTTCCTGTTTGGGGGCTAGCCAGGACTGTGCCTAATCTGGATTGGAGATGGCAGATGGTGCCCCGGTTGATGGGTAGTTGACAGCCTGGGGGGGGGGTGTTGGCCTGGTGAAGAGGAAGGAAAAGCAGTGACGACTGTGTGATGTCTGCCACGAGCATGTGTGCCAGGTATTTGCTGTTCCTCACTCTGGGGTCACCCTCCGCAGGCCTCTGATGCTGTCTAGGCTGGCATTTCTCTCACAGAGCACAGGACCCACTAGAGAAACAGCCTTGTGTTCCTTCCTTCTGTCCACTCTGCCATCTGTCCGGTACTTACTGGGACTTGCCCAATGCCAGTGTCTGTTGGAACAGGAATAAGCCATGGCCTGCCCCACAAGTTGCTCATGGTCAGGAGAGTGTTGTCCTAAGGGCCGTGTGGAAGGGCACACCGAGCCCTGGGAGCCGCTGTCTGCTGGGGGAGCCAGGGCAGGCTTCGGAGAGGCGGGACCTTCAGCTGGACCTCACAGTGTAAGAAGGGATGAGCTTGGTGGTGAGGGCAAGAAGAGGACCAGGGCAGCCTCCGTGAGTGGGGCGCGCGGCTACGGGGATGGCTGGGAGCTGAGGACAGGAGGCCAGCGTGGGGCTAGTTGCAATATGCCTGGTGGGCCAGGTCTGCAAGCTGGGACGTGATCCTGAAAGCAGCAAAGATCCATAGGAGGTTTCAGACAGAAGAGTGGGGATGACAGGAGCGTCGGTGCTGGGGAATGTACCACGTAGGGGGTTCGGTGCTCTTGTTGCACTTGAGGAAATAGCACCAGGGGGTCCTGAAGAAGGGAAGAGTCTAGACCAGTGCTTCTCAGACTTTTCTGTGCCTTAAAATCACGGGGGACCTTGTTCAAAGGAGATTCGGATTCAGCAGGGCTGAGGCGAGGCCGTGATTCTGCATTTCCAGCAAGCTCCGTGGCGACGCTGGAGCTGCTGGACCACACACCACACACTGAACAGCCAGGTTAGAGGACAGCCTCTTGTTGACCTAACAGGGACGGCTCCGAAGACAGCACCCCTCAGCCCCACCGCTCATCCAGCTCCACGCAGTGCCTTACTCTCTCCCAAGCCTGCACACACTTGCCACTTTGTTAGAGTCTCAGGCCGGTGAGACGGATCAGCAAGGTGGAGGCTCTGCTCCTCACTTTTTAGGTTAGGAAATGAGTACACACAGAGGGAGAGCCAGGTCACCTGATCCAGAGCCAACTCACCCTTGGCATAGCCTGTGGGGATCACTTGGAGAGCTCCCTGCCTGGCATGTGGCAGAGCTGATCCTGTTTGAGATACGGAAGGGGCCACAAGGAGAAAGGGGCTTTCCAGGGACCCTTGCTGGCCAAATAGGACATAGACCCAGCCCTCTCCACTGAAGATCTTTTGTTTTTCTCTTAATGAGTCCCACATTTGGGTTTGTCCTCTACACTGTATTTCTCCATTGTTCCTTAATCAGTGGCTTCTGTAACTGTCCACCAGAACTTCTGATGAAGAAACCACCAGTTTTCAGCCTAACTTGATTCCAGCCAAAAGCAGAGACTCCCATGGAGTATTCCCCAGGCTGTGGCTCCATGGAGATAAGTCATTCTGGGCTAAAAAGAGCTCTATAGTCAAATATACTTGGAATGTGGTAGATTCTATCTGCATGTTACAGTCCACCTAGGAAGTTCAGGATGCACATTAGCACATTAAAGCCTGTAAAATTTCGTTTTGAAGATCCTCCTTAACTGGATTTTCCATGTGTATTTGACCACAACCCTTTGCTGGAGAACATGTATAGAGTCCACAGAACACTGAGGCAATGCTGAATCACGTACTTCAGTTAATAAGGTGGTTGGTTAATGTCCTACCTCTGCTAAGTTTTTGGAATAGCTGAGGTACTGCATTAGTTCCTCCAAGGGTCTTCAGGTGTTGGGATTCCCAGGTTGGGAACTCTTGCTGGAAAGGTAATGAACAGAGTGCTAGGATGGGCAGGGGTAGGGGAGGGGGAAGAGACTACTTTAGCTAGGGTGGCAAGGGACAACCTTTCTGAGGAGGTAAGACCTACATTCAGACCTGAATGAAAAGAAGTGGCAAGCTATGAGCAGGTCTGAGGGAAAGCATTCCACGAAGCGGTAACAGCAAGTGCAAGGGCCCTGAGGCAGGACCAAAGTAGGCTTCCTCCGATGCCAACGCTGTTCCTGGGGGCCTGAGGTCACAGGGCACAGGGCTAAGAACTCTGGATAGACTACCCCGGAGTAGGCCGGGCAAAGCAGCCTTTCTCAGTGGGAGCAGAGCATCACTGATTCAGGGGAAAGGAAGACAGCAATGAAACCTCTGTCTTGTCTCTACCTGCAGGGCATCTGAGGAGGCTTTCGTGAAGGAATCCAAGGAGGAGACGCCAGGCACAGAGTGGGAGAAGGTGGCTCAGCTGTGTGACTTCAACCCCAAGAGCAGCAAGCAGTGCAAAGACGTGTCCCGCCTGCGCTCGGTGCTCATGTCCCTGAAGCAGACGCCGTTGTCCCGCTAGGTGCCTGTCACAAGCATGGCCACAAAGCATGGGCTGGGCCTGGGCACAGGAGGAGCCGCTGCTTCGGCCAGGATTGGGGCACAGCGCCTCCAGCAGCTGCTACCCACAGCCTGTTCTGTTCCTCCCCATCTCCTGAGGCTGGGAAGGGGAACCCTCCCCCCGTCACCCCATTCCCTCCTGGCCCTGTGGCCCAGCCCCTCACACCTCCTCTCGGTCCACAAAATTGTGACTGTCCCTCCTGATGTATTTTTTTTTTTTCTTGGCTTAAAGGGTGTGTTGTTAACTCTTTTTACACTTATTTATTATCATTCTCATTTCTCTGGAAGCCATAACTGGTGTCAGGGCTCAGTTTGTGCTCAGAATTTTCCCAGCTTCGTGGCCTTGGGAGAAGGTGAGGCTATCCCCCTGGAAACTGTCCCAGCTGGAAGGAGGTGTCCCAACCTGTGTATGTCTGCTGCCCCCCTCTCCAGGAGGAAAGACAATCTCTAATGGAATGCTTTTGCAACCCTGATCCTTTCTGATCCTTCAATAAGCCTGTGATTTAAGGATTCTGTTGTCGTCGTCATGTAGCCATGGTCACCAAGGCTCCCAGACAGTCAGAAGCTTTAAGTGGGAGAGAAGAGGCAAGACCAGAGGTTCCCAGTGGTAGCGCCCTCTAAGTCCGGGTCGAGGCTGGTGAAGGTAGCTGCTACCAGACTCCGTTCCTTGGGTTTGGCCAGTACCCTCTGGATGTGGAAGGCTCACCGCTCTCCCTCCTTCAGCTGTCCTCCACCCTGTAGATTTGGGATAAATACTCAGTGACCACACCTTCTTCTTATTCAGCAGAAGTTGCAAACAGGCTGTGTTTAAGCCACTGTGACCTGCACAATGTTTAAAAAGATTTGAGTAACTGCCAACTGTCTTTATTTTCCTAGAGCTGCCATAACCAAGTACCACAGTGTCTGGCTTAGAACAACAGAAACTTACTGTCTCACCATTCTGGAGGTCTGAAGTCCGAAATCAAGGTGTCAGCAGAGTCACAGTCCACCTGAAGGCACTAGGGAAGGATCTGTCGTACAGACTTCTCTCCCAGCTTCCGGCAGCCTCAGGCATTCTGTGACTTGTAGGTGCATCACTACAATCCTGAGCTGATCTTCACATCATCTATGCATTGTCTGTCTTTGTGTCCAAATTTCCCCTTTTTATAAGGACACCATCAGAATGGATTAAGGCCTACTCTAATGACCTCATTTTAACTTAATTACCACTGTAAAGACTCTATTTCCAAGTAAGATCACATTCTGAGATTCTGGGTTAGGACTTCAACATACCTTTTTTAGGAGAACACAGTAACACCAACAGCTAAAAATAGTGGCCTTCCTCTTTAGAAGTGCCATAGTCCTCACCACTTCCTATGCCCTTGAATCCATCATCATGATGTACTGCTTTACATTTATAATCTCTGCCTTACAGCTGAGAGACCATGATGGGAGCAAGAAACTTAGTGGGGCCTTTCTCATACACTCCTCCACTTAGAAAGTTAGACTGTGTTAGGGGGCCCAAAAAGTGGGTGTACCTTACTTCCTCTTTCCTTTCTGGCAGCTTGCAGCTGGTGTTGAAATTGATGGGAGTCACACATGGAAGGAACCTGGGTCCCACCGAATCAACACTTTAGATCTGACCACAGTCCAGGAATATATGAGACTTTACATGAATGAGAAACTCAAGGTTGTCTCTTGTAGAGTTCACTCAGGGTCCCCAGCCTCTTTTCTTCCTTAACCCTAAAACACTAGGTACACAAACCAGTGGCAAGCTTTGTGACTATGCTCTTACCACTCCACCAGGCTGCTCCTCTGAGCCTCAGTTTCCTGTTCCGTAAGATGCATCAAGAACCAAGCAGAGATGGTCTACATCAGTGGAGCCCTAGATGCTCTCAGGAGGTGGGAGTGGGGTGAGGAGCAGAAGCAAAGTGGAGGGCAGAGCCCCCCTGCCTCCGACAGGGCCATGGCCGGCCTCATCTCAAGGAAGGTTTTCCTGTTGAAAGTTTGAAAATTGTTGGAAAGATCAGTTTTTTTCAAATAGCACCACTCTATGGAATCTCTACTTTTAACAAGTTCCCCAGGTGATTGTTACCAGAAAAGTTTGGGAATCATTAGACTCTTAAGATTTCTAGGGGCCCCTACAGTCTTTAGACAACCTCCTCCTAAAACCGAAGACCAAAAACCCTGGGGGGCTAGACTGAGAATGAATTCACCAAACTACAAGTGGATCAGTTTATTAAGTAGGAAGAAAGTGGGGCACAAATAGAACTATGCAACACCCAAACTGAACCGAATCAGATTCCTGAAAAAACACCTGTCAGTTACACAATTGGCCACTTCCTCCCCCGCTGATACAGGGGCTTGTCAGGGGAGTCGTGGGAATAAGTCAGGTAGCGGGACCGGTGGTTGCTCCTGGGGCTGGGAATGGTCTCTGTGTAACTTTCACGGCCAGGTCTCGGACTCAGGATCGAGACTTCATAGCAGATGCAGCCAGACCCAGCAAGACGGCTGCGACCGTGAAGCCCTGGGCAGCGATCCGGGTGCGCATCATGAGCTGAGAGCGGTGGCTCTGACCCCGATGGAAGCAGTAGAGGCCGTAGGTTAGGGCGGCCGCCGTGCCCAGGCAGCCTGAGGAGGGGACAAAGTAAGTGGGGAGTGGCACGTTCCGGCCCCGGAGGCCCCTCCCCGCTGTGGGCCTCCCGTACTCAGAGTCCAGAGCTCCGAACTACTGCTGAGGGTAAGGGAGTAGAACCTAGTGGGTGAGTCTGGTCAAGGTAGGGTCCTCTCAGTTACAGGGCTCGCCCCATCTCAGCCCCCCAATCCCGCCCAGCTCCCGCTCCAATCAGGATCACCTCGCACCGCCCGGCCCCATCGCCACAGCTCCGGTCCGCTCTCACTCCCGCCCCCCTTCGCTTTCCCAGTCCTCCCCTAATTCATTCCGTCAGACCTCACTACCCTATCCGTCTACAGTTCCTGCAACACCTGCTTACCTATGGGTACCATTGGGTTCTCCCGGGTCTTGCGAAGAAATTTTTCCTTGAAGCTTTCTTGAGTGCTGTAGATACTGGGGCTAAAGCCCTCAATGACTGGGGGCTGTGATGGTTCAAAGGGTGCCCCGGGAGTCACAGGACCAGGAGCCGCCATGTTCCCGGCAACTGCTTTGGGAGAAAATACGGACGCTAAACTCCGCCTCCTGATGAGGTCATGGAAGGGGAGGGGGAAAAGGAATTTGCTGAGCTTGTACGCAGGCGCCAACCGCTCATTGCACTCTGGGAATCGTGGTAATCGGCCTGATGTCGCTCTAGGGAGGACTACATTTCCCAAAAAAGCCTGCAAAGCCCTCGCGCGCATCCGCCGGAAGTGGTCTGCGACACGAGGTGCTGCGAGTGCGAGCCACCCCAGTTATAGGTTGCCAGTTCGGTGGTCAGGACAATGCCCAAGGCCAAGGGGAAGACCAGGAGACAGAAGTTCGGTTACAATGTTAACCGGAAGCGTCTGAACCGGAATGCTAGACGGAAAGCAGCGCCACGGATCGAGTGGTGAGGGGACCAGGGTTTAGGAGGCAGGACCTCGGCTGGGACGGCCGGCGACATGACGGTTCCGCGATCTCTCTCTCTCTCTTTGCCTGTAGCTCCCACATCCGACATGCCTGGGACCATGCCAGATCCGTGCGGCAGAACCTGGCCGAGATGGGGTTGGCTATGGACCCCAACAAGGCGGTGCCCCTCCGTAAGAGAAAGGTACTGACATGGTAGGGTCCCGGCCCTTGACCCCTGTTTCCCACCATACTTAGCTGGGTTTCATAACTTCTTCGTGTCCGTTGCCACGCTCACGCTTTTCCTGGGTTTGCGACCTTCCCACAGCCAACTCCGGCAGCCAGCACTGACTGTGGTTGAAAGGCTCTTTACCACCACCCTCCTACTCCCCAGCACACAGTGAACCTGGATTGCAGCTCCCCCCTTTTCTTCTCCACTCATTTTTTTCCTCCCTCCGAAATTAACCTGTTTGGGTCCCTTGGCATCTCAGTAGTATTTCCCAGAATTTATCTTTTTCTGCCCTTAACTCTCCTAATAAGGACTCCCCAGAGTTTGGAATTTTTACTTACTCTTCCTTACACCTTTCCCTGTCATCTAGTTATCCTTGGTCTGAGGCTTCCTTAGTTTCTCCCAAATAAGTCTTTTTCTGCACCAGGCTTTCAAAAATAGGACTTTTTTTTTTTTTAACTCAGTAATTTCTTCCCTGCTTTAATTCATAGCACTTGTAAATACTTGGTGGTATTTTATATATTTATCTGTTTAATGTCTGTGCCTCTTTTCCTCAACGTAATCTCCTTGGGGACAAGGATTTTGTGTTTTGTCCAGTGGTGCTTAGGATGTGACTAGTGCTCAATAGTTAACTTAATGAATGGACTAAGATTTTATTTATTTGTGTGTGTGGGGGGGAGGGCAGACAGAGAAGCAGACTCCCTGCTGAGTAGGGAGCCTGACACGGGGCTCGATCCCAGGACCCTGAGATCATGACCTGGGCTGAAGGCAGATGCTTAACTGACTGAGCCACTGAGCCACCCAGGCACCCCTGTCCCATTGCTTTTAGACAAGTTTCTTTTTATCCCTTCATGCCAGAGGAAAATGGCACTACTGTTTCTTGATCCAATGTGAAGCTATAGCCAAACACTGTCAGGTTGCTCCTTTTCATAGAGAAGATATCTGATATCTCCTCATTGTAAACTATGAAGAGCTTTCGTGGGCATTGTTTCACTTGATTAGCACACATGGGGTGAGGTAGGCAAGGAGTATTATGCCCACTTTATAGATAGGCACAGAAAGATGAATTGCTTCCTTGAGTCCCTTTTGGAAACTGTAAAGCCTCTGGGGCATTGGTTCTCTCTGTCATCTATTCCTGCCTGCATATGTGTAGGGATTCTCATGGGTAATGCAGTTGTGTTGGGATGGGCAGGACCCTCTAGAATTTTCCCTCATCCAGGATCCTTCCTTTGTCTACTGGTCTCATATGCTCTGTTCTCTGCAGGTAAAGGCCATGGAGGTGGACGTAGAGGAGAGGCCTAAGGAGCTTGTACGGAAGCCCTATGTGCTAAATGGTGGGTGCTGGCCACATTCCTCTAGGTCACCATCCTGCACAGTCAGGGCTAGAAAGGGCCCTCAGGTGTCTTCATTTTACAGATGGAAAAAAACAGCCTCAGAGGGAAGAAGGGAGCTGGTCTGGGGCTCACAAAGTTAAGACTGTGTCTATGACTGGGACATTTTCAGTCTACTTACTAAACTCACACGTGTGAAGTAAGGTCAGAGATGTTCAGGGAGGATGCAGCCAGGGGCTTGAGAGGATAGAAATGAAACCAGTGAGTCTCAAGCACGTGTTCAGCTTGTCATGAATTTAAGGATGAACAGATTTTTATAGAGATTCCACCATCTCATGTAATCTTTTCAGTGACAAATCAATTTCATGTATATTAATGCTATAGAGACTGAATATTAAAACAGAGCAGAGTAAATTCTGCAGGGAAGCAGGAATACTCCGAAATTCCCCACCCATCTTCCTCTTACCTGTCCAAGATGTTTAATGGTTCTCCTGAAGTTAAAAGGGTTTTAAATGGCCAGACATTTGATAGAGAATTCCTTGAGTTCCTATCAGTGATTCTCATAAGAATTACTACACAGGATTGCATAAATAAAGTAAGGTGTACTTATTGTCAAATTTTAAAACTTTCTCATTCTTTAAAGAATTTTTAAAATTCGTGGTAAAAAACATACCACATAAAGTTTATCATCTTAATCATTTTTAACTATATAGCTCAGTAGTGCTAAGTATGTTTATGTTGTCATGCATTAGATGTCCAGAACTTTTTCATCTTCAAAAGTGGAACTCTACCCATTAAACAACTCCCCATTTCCCTGCCTCCCCACCCCCAGCCCCTGGCAACCAAGTCAAAGATAATTTTGACTATAAGCAATTTAGCACTTAACCCCTGGATAACATTTGACCAGCTTGTTTCCATGAGTTGTTTTTCTCCTAGTTGAGAAATGGGGAGTATTTGCCTAGCTATTTAATTTAATTAATTTTAAAGATTTATTTATTCCAGAGAGCGAGGGAGAGAGCGAGAGTGGGGGGAGGAGCAGAGGGAGAAGGACAAGCAGACTTCACGCTCAGCGCGGATTCCGACACGGGGCTCTATCTCATGACCCATGAGATCATGACCTGAGCCAAAACCAAGAGTTGGATGTCTAACCGACTGAGCCACCCAGGCGCCCCTAGCTATTTTAACAGTGAAGCCATGATTGGCTCCACAGCTTCGCTTTTGCCCTCACCTGGAGCAGTGAGGCACTGGGGCCCAGCCTCAGGCCCTGGTTCCTGTAGCATTCGTTCTCATTCATACCTTTCCATTTCACGTTATTATTGTAACATTTCTTTTTTTTTTTAAAGATTTTATTTTTATTTATTTGAGACAGAGAGAATGAGAGAGA